AACCCTTATTTAAAATATTAAGTAATATTTTATTTTTTGTCAATCAGTGAAACCGATGCTATTACCTTTTCTGTTATGTGGTATTTTTTTTTTTAATTTTAAAACCTTTCAATTTTTATCGAGTAAAAAATTTATTTGTTTACACCAATTTTTCTCACGTCTTTGTTCCTCAAATCAGTGTATCCTTTAGTTGGAGAAATGTATATTTTTAACTGCTTCCGAAAATAATAGCCGAAAAAAATACTTATAATATATATTTTATACACTTTTGGCTAGAGAATTAATTAGTTTTGGTCGATCGGCCAACTTGATATTTTGCCCTATCTTTTGTTTGATTTAAAATTTTTATTTATTGAGTAAAGATTCTTAATATTATCTTAGTCTATTTAGCTCATGTTAAAAAATGGACCATACTACTTATTTTCAACTTTTTCTTTTTCCAAAACAGTGACTTATATTTAACTTCTAAAGTAAAGCATAATATCAGAGAAATGGAGTCTAAAATGCATAACAGCATAAGGTTGCATGTTCACTTCCTTCTCACTTTCTTGTCGTATCAGTATTAGCTTAAAAAATTTATACCTTGTTTTCTGGTAGAGCTGCCTCTCTACTCTCCCCAGACTCCATGTGAGATGATATTACTATGTTTTGTTGTTGTTTTTTTCTAGTAGAGCTACGCTTTGTTATTGTGAAAATGTTGGAGCAATTTCTAGCACATCTGATGAATGTTTAGGTTATAAAACACGGAGTGACACCTTCAGTAGTGGAGGAGTTCAAGAGAGAGGTTACAGAATTGTTCAAACTTCCAATGGAAGAAAAGAAGAAGCTATGGGCTATGGCAACAGGGAGACAGCTATGAAATTGTTCAAACTTCCAATGGAAGAAAAAGAAGAAGCTATGGCAACAGGGAGACAGATTTCGGGCAACTATTTGTTGTATCAGAGGAGCAGAAGCTCGATTGGAGTGATATGTTTGCCATAACTACTCTTCCCCGGCCCCTCATATGCGGATCGGAGAATGGACTTGTTCCAAAAGTTGCCTCCGAAGCTCAGGTGCCTTTCTCCTCACTATCTCTTTCTCACACCTTGATACCCAGTGGCAAATACTAGGAATTTCGCTAATAGTTTTCATGATTTAATATGTATAAAAGATAGGACTAATACTGATCTATATACATCTGATGAAGAGTGTTAACCCTATAACAATCGCATTGATCTTTCCAATGATGCTGAGGTCTTAAAATAAAATAAGTGAAAAAGGTCCAGCTTTGCCCATCAACTATTGTACCATTAATTCTTGAACTAGGAGTAAGGTCCCTTCCCTTTTCCTTGGGGACCTATAAGAAAATGGGTACGATCTTGGCGTCAATAATTCATAACCAGAAAATGATAAGGACGAAAAATTCTTCAACATAAGTCGTTGTGGACCTCCACTTAGTTTCACCCGAGCTTCATTCTGGTCATGCGTAGATCACGTAGGTTCAAATTCATAAGCAATGATAATTTCCCTATGAAACTGCTTTTTCTGCGGTTCCGCTGGGTTCCCTTAACCAAGCCACTTTCCCTATGAAACTGCTTTTTCTGCCGCTCCGATGGGTTCCCTTAACCAAGCCACTTTTCCTATAAAACTGCTTTTTCCGCGGCTTTGGTGGTTCCCTTAACCAAGTCACTCACTATGAATCCTTGATTCATTCTTCAAAAAGCATGCGGTCACGTTTCCATGGCTTTATTTTTTCAACTATTGTACAGAGTCGCCCGTTGCCCCATTTTTTTTATGTGATTCGCATGATATTCCATTGCATCATTATGTTACGATTGGGTCAAAGGTTCGCTCGGTGGTCGACAGACTTGTCAGATGCCCATCCACCACCCGTCCGTTTTGGATCATAATAGATTAATTAATTAGATTTAGGTATTTAATAGGAGTATTAATTGATAATTTATTTCAAAAATATTTTCTTAGTTTGACTTAGTATAAACTTTAATAAAGAAGAAAGACTTTTGAGATATGTAATCTTAAATAAATCATAACATTTGTGTTATCGTGAAACTTTTGAAACTTGTGATCTTAAAACTCATATAAGTTTTTTCGATAGTAATATCCTTACTTCAATCCAATCTGTTTTCACAGTAATCAAATTAACAAACTTGATGTGCCGTTTTTGGATGAAGTCCTTCCACAATGCAGCTAGAAAAGATGATATCATCATATTTTTATTTAATCGAAGGAAACAAAATGAAAGTCCTTTTACTAATACTTTAAAAGTTAATGCAAAAATACAATTTTGGATACCGTTTTGGATACCGTATAAGAAAATGATGGATACAACAATTTTGAGGCATGGAGAAACAAGATGTAATACATTCCTTATCAACTTCACATTTGCGAGCTGCGTGTGAAATTTTAGTAATTTTCGTATATACTATTAGAAGTCTTTTTGGTTTGTTTTCTTTCCTTTTTTGGTGTGTCAATTTTGTCATATTCATTTGTGATCTCTCTTTAAACTCTTCCGAGGTTCTATATCACCGTTTTGAATTTGACTGTAACTTTTTAATAGTTTTTTATTTTCTTTTGCCTTATTCACTCCAATTAACTATTTCTGATTCTATATATAGGTATTTCATGTTTTTATTATTGTTTTTAGTTGAAGCTTGTAATTTTACCCTTTTAATTTCATGTTACTCATTACACACATATTGTAATATTATTAATTCTCATGCCTTTTTGTTTTTCAGGTTCTTTTTTATTATTAAAAATTAAATTTAAAATTAAAAGATATTATTTTTCTTGATATAATAGAGTGTTATATTTTTCATGAAGTAGTAAAACATCAAATTGTCATCATTTGACACATGATTGTGTCAAATTTTCATAATACAGTTATATTTATACAATACCTATATTTTTTGGGTCAAATTCACAGATGGAAGGACTTATAATTTTGAATCAAACAAAGAGACAAAGGGTACATGAACGCATAATTATGATTTATATACTTCGATAAAATATTTTAACTATCATCTCCATCACAAATAAAGTACTACTCATGCGTAGGTGTACACTATAAAATTGATAAAGATCTACTAGCCATCTGAAGGAAGGTGTATTCATCGAATTTATGTATATATAGCTTCTACGAAAGACTACTCTCATCCGACAATAATTTCTTGAAGAAGGCAAAAAAATTACAAAAACTTTATAAAATTGCATAATTGAAGTCGTCGAATATTACTATTGAAATTCATTTGATAACAATTTTTCAGTATGATTAATTGTGCCTCAATAATAATAAATATCGATTGAATAGGCTCGTCGTTCATCAATTTGAGCTAGCATTTTTTCTCTTCATTTTTGTACAACTCATCGCACATTTATTATAATTTATATTTATACTAATTAGCATGGGTACACCCAAGAACTAGTAGTACATAAATCTGAATACTTGTATACTTAAATGTTGTATAATTTATTTATTTTTTGAGATTTTTACTCTGTAGAGCAATTAGTAAGCAAATATTATATAAACAATAGTACTTTTGATTTATTTCAAAAAGAGCAGATTCATTTACATATATAGCATATTTAAAATAATACGTTACCATGAGATTCTTTATTTCTTAAAACTGACCCATGATTTAAGGGATCATGTGTTCGAGCTTAAAATTTTACACACTCGATCCTTTTTTAACTATTATTTAAAAAAATAGTATTATTTATTATTTATTTCATAAAGAGCACTTTGTTTTTCATTATTAGCATATTACAAAAATTAAGCCCAACATTCATCTTATTCACTCCATTTTTTAAAATCTGATGCATATGTGAATGCCACCTAAATTCAAGATGTATTGATTTATACGTCTTTTATACTTTGTATATCAAGTATCACTTTAATTCAAAATGTATTTTTATGTATATAATTTTTGTATATTTATTTGTGAAGTGCCATCTTATTTTAAGATGTATTTTTAATGTATATTCTAAATATATTTTATATGTCAAGTGCCATTTTAAATATATATATATATATATATATATACTGGGGAGGGTAGTGTGTACGCAGACCTTACCCCTACCATGAGGTAGAGAGACTGTTTTCAATAGACCCTCGGCATCCTTCCCTCCAAGAACTCCCCACCTTGCTATTGGGGTGACTCGAACTCACAACCTCTTGGTTGGAAGTGGAAGTTGCTTACCATCAGAGCAACCCCTCTTGTCTAAATGAATGGAACAAATTTAGAAAATATATTGGTTTCGGCAGAAAATTAAATTTAGAAGATGAAGAAAAAGAAGGAAAACTAATAGATAAAGAGAAAAAAAGGCATGATTTTTGTACAAAAAATTATTTACTTTCCATTCAAATTGCTTATGTTTAGAGATTAATAATTAATATTCTTAATTTAATGGAACTGTGTGCTACAAATATAAATATTTTCCTGCCACAACTGTAATATTTGATTTTATGCTACAAATTTGTTATATTTCTTTTAAATTGTTACAGTTATGTAAAGTTTTCTAAAAATTTACTAGCGGTATAATGTCAAACATTTTGAGATGTCCCAAAATGAAACAGTTCATGTATGTAAATAGATAGACTGCTTAGACTTGGAATAATCTTCATTTTTTACTTTTAGAGCAGTTAGTTAAGTGACTGACTCTATGTATGATGAAATTGCATTTCATGTTGGGAACAATATCTGTCATGTTCGACTTTCAATATCTAACTGTTTCAATTTTCAAATGCCCTCGGAATTTTTTGAAAACTACAAAAATTGTTTTCTTAATTTGGGTCACGTACATTACCTCAATTTGTCATTTTGTTTTAGAGAATCAAATAGAGTTGCGTGCCGGCTGCAATGTAATACCTAAGACAAAAAAAAATTTGTAAGACTAAAAACATTAATAAATAAATGGCTTGGTACTAGGGAATTGATAAAGAAGCTAAATGGAATCTATAGCTTAAAGAATTTTATAAGTCTGGTTTTGGCTGTTTGTTGACATTGAACATTTTATGTATTCAAGTTTCCTAGACGAGAACTAGACAGGGTTGAGCGACTCAATGGGGTGTAAATTAAAATCGGCAAAAATTAACGTTGGAAAATCTCTCATATATATTTATAGTCTAGAAAATCTGTGTACTAGGAGCTAGGAGAAAGTTATAGACTTTTTGATTTTTTGTCGACTGTAAAGATATCCTAGCACAACCTCTATACGTTTGCTATCTAAAACCTCATTTATCGATGGAAGAAGCTGCAAGCTCGAGAAAGATAGGTAGCAGTTTGAAAGTACCTAGAGTTCAAGAGCTGGCAAAGCAACAACTAGCCGTTCCGCCACGATATATTCGTGATGATATCGAAACGCCTGTTTTGACATCCAATTCCTCTTCCATATTGCCTCAAGTTCCAGTCATTGACATGGAAAAACTGCTCGCAATTGGAAATGATGGTTCAGAGCTTCAGAGGCTTCATTTTGCTTGCAAAGAATGGGGATTTTTCCAGGTACCTATATTAATTTCAATGATCAAATGCCCTTCATTTTAAGATTTTAAGTTGTAGAGAAATGGTTACAAGCTTTGCTTGTTACTAATATAGTCTAGCCTCTTTTCTTCTTTAGATCCATTATTTCACTCCGGTAGTAGTACTGATCGTGTCAATGCAGAGGAAATGGAGATAGTTGTACCAAAAATGAATGTGGATCCAGGATTTCAAAAACTTTTTGAATTCTGGACTCATAATCTTCGTTTTGTTATCTTGATAAATTATTTATACATATTAAGTAGATTTATTGATATAAATATAAGATCTGAGCTAAATCTATTGAGTTCTGTCAAATCCGTAACTTGGACGGCATATCCGCCCTCATTAGTCATCAACAACCACCACCCAAAGAAAATACTTATGTTACAACAGAATTTAACAATATTTTTAATACTCGTTTCTTGCAGTTGGTGAATCATAGAGTGAGTTCATCATTGGTGGAGAATGTGAAGTCAGAAATCCGAGCATTTTTCGATCTACCATTGGAAGAGAAGAAGAAGTTTGAGCAAGAAGAAGGGGATGTTGAAGGATATGGGCAAGCCTTTGTTTTTTCTGAAGAGCAAAAATTAGACTGGGCTGACTTGTTTTACATGACCACTCTCCCGACCCATTTGAGAAAACCTCACTTATTCCCCAAGCTCCCTATCTCACTTAGGTACCTCTCTCTTTCTCTCTCTCTCATCACACGAAATTTCTGAGTTTAGCCTTTCAAATGGATTAGAATGGTTCTCTTACAATAGTTACAAGAGAATGCGAAATGCAAAAGAAAAAAAGAAACATGAAATAATATACTTACAAGATATACATACTATTTGCTAGTCGTATTTTGCTTGTGCAATGGCCATTTAATTCTTTTGGGAAATAAGAATTTATAAACAGCACTACTAGAAATTCGCTAAACATCGACCAAAAAAACCGACCAAAGTTGGTCGTTTATGGCCAACTACCGACCAAAACGCGACCATTTATGTGTGGACGGTATTTTGACGGTCGGAAAGGCATACCGACCAAAGTTGGTCGTTTATGGCCAACTACCGACCAAAACGCGACCATTTATGTGTGGACGGTATTTTGACGGTCGGAAAGGCATACCGACCAAAGTTGGTAGGAAATTACCTACCAACGTTGGTCGATCAATTAAATTCAAAAAACAAATATTGCAAAAACAATCGACCAAAGTTGGTCGGTTTTTTAATTATGTAATCAAAAGAGTCACCATCTGGGAATCGAACCGGGGTATGTACTGTGGCAGGACACTATTCTACCACTAGATCATTGGTGCATTTTGTTTTAAGACAGTCTTTTATTTGATTTATACTCTTTAATTGTATTTTTGCACGAAAATAACTGACCAAAGTTGGTCGGTTTTATTAAAAAATAAAATTACCGACCAAAGTTGGTCGGTTTCTTGAAAAATAAATTTTGCGGGACTCAAAAATAGTTTCCCGCATTTTTGCGCTAAAGAAAACCGACCAACTTTGGTCGGTTTCGTAAAAAAAAATTAAAAAATAAAATATTTTGAAAAACCGACCAACTTTGATTGATTTTTTGGCCGGTTTTTTGACCGACCAAAGTTGGTCGGTCGACCTTGGTCGGTTTTTGCCGAATTTCTAGTAGTGCAGCTAGCCATTATGTAGTAAGGTCCCATTTATCTTTCTTAAGATTAAAATGTGTAAATTTGAATATTAAGATGTTCTACTAAGAGCTAAATATCTGAATATGTAAAATTTGTCATGTTGAAAATTTGAAAATATAAATTCAAATAAAACAACTAATTAATCTAATACTACATTAAAAATTATTAGAAATAATAAACTTATAATATGTCACTGGTGGTGATGGCTTACAACGGTAGCTGTGGACGTTGACCCGCAGTGGTATAGTTGATAGTGGTTGTAGGTACATAATAGCTAGTGGTGATGGTGGTAGTTAATGACGGCAACTGATAATTGTGATAAATGATGGTCACGATTGATGGCGGAGGTTCCCGATTTTTTTCGTGTTTGTGTAACTCTATTCGTGCTCAACTACACATGTACCTTAAGCCATAATATTCTTGTTACTTAATGCTTGGAGTTGAGATTAATTGACCAGATGTCACTATTAGAAAACTGCCAAAAATCGTCCAAGAAAACCAATCGAAATTGGTCAAAAATAAAGGAAAACCGACCGATTTTTGACCGATTTTAATTCGTCGAAAAATAGTGATCGCTAACGTGTGGCGACCGAAGACGGTTGCAATTTCCGACCGAAGTCGGTCGGTTAATTCAACCAAGTTTGACCACTTTATCTGACATTTTTTGCCGGGAAAATAAATATAATTTTTAATTTTTTTTTTTTTTTTAAAATAGCGATCGATTTCGGTTAGAAATATAATTATTTGATAATTTTTTATTTCTTTTTAAATTTGAAATTACCGACCGAAATTATTAAAAAATAAATAAATAAATAAATAAATAAAAAAGTTTATTTCCGACCGACTTTGGTCGGTAATTTCAAATTTATGCAAATTGCACATTGAAATTACCGAACGAAATCGATTGGTTTTTTGGGTAAAAACCTGGCAGAATATGGCTGTTTTTAAGCTACACCACCTGCCAATTACAACCAATAACCATCCTATAATGGCAGCATTATATTGCTGTCATTCAACCACAATTAACCAACAACAACAACAATTAACCAACGCCTACCACTACAACAACGCTAATAACAAACACAACAACAACGCCAACCACAACAACAACAATACAAATGTTCAATAACAAAGTAAACAATACAGTCATCATTCAAAACTATTCCAACTAAATATTCATAAGTTCAAGACTTTGTTTAGCAATACACACCATTCAAGGAGTGTTTTGTACTGCATCATCTCCATCTTCACTACTAGAAGCTTCATCATTGGCATTGTTCGAAGGATCACGACGAGAAGGATTAGCATCTGGGGAAGACTCACGAGACCGAGGAATGGGGAAAGCATCACTAGCAAGAAGATTGGTCAGCTGATCTTGAAGGACATTAAATTGTTGGTCCCTCTTTTCTAGCTGACCTTGAAGGCTATCAAATTGTTTATCTCTCTTTTCTTCTCTATTCTTTGCCTCTTCAAGCTCTGCTGACAGTTTTGAGATCTTCTTTTCCATAGCCGAGAGAGTCGACCTATCAAGTGCCTCGCCGCCCTGGGCGGAAGTCCCTATACCTTGCAATCCAACCCTGTAGCGCCGAAATAATCTCTCTGGAAGGTCGTATGCTATCCCCTTTTTAGGACCACCGACAACATCCAACCATATCTTCTGCGCTTCTTTGTCTGAAATGGAAGGTCGCTCGCCTTGCTCATTCGGTGGCAAGCTCTGACTGTACTCCTCCACAATAGTCTTATAGCGATTCTTTATTTAGAAGATAGAAAATTATTAATTATATAATATTATAAATATTAATTTCAAGTTATAGTAGTTATTAAACTTACATATGTGGTCTCCGCCCGGTCCTCAACCCATCTACTTGGATATGTCGGCGCCTTCTTCTTCCGGATGTGAGTCTCCATGAAGAACTCATCATGAGTCATCTTCCTCCCATATTTTTTTCCCTACAAATATAATAAAAAATATTGGCTAAATTAAAATATATAAATATAGTTCGATAAAAATAGATTTAAATATTTTAAGGAATTAATAGTAGTTTTCTCGCAGTCCCCATGCTCCTTGCACCCACACAGTGCAAGGAGCCACTCTTCTCAGATGCTCGAGCCTTCTTTCCCTGTTCACTCCTCTTTTCGAATTTTTCAGTGGTCCACTGCCTCAGTAGACCCTCTCATAAATGCGGTAGAACCCATGAAGGCTTCTTGCTCTTCTTCCGAGCAGAACAAAAGGAATCAGATAGTCTCTTACAGTATTTGAACTCAAAATTTGCAAGAATGGAACTGTTATGCCGGTCCTCCCAGACACAATTAGTCTGCAAATGAAGTGGGTAACATTAGATGAAAATATTGTTAATATATTACTTAAATAGATAAGAATTGTATTAAAATCTTAAATTGGTTGAAGATTTGCTCCACGAGCTTCGGTGGAAAATCACCCCAAGTCGCATAGTGTGCATCATACAGCCGGCCAAGAGCTTTAGTGATTATCTTTGTAGTCTGATGACTAGGTATGAACCTGCAATATAGCAATTACATTAAATAAACAAGACTAGTTATTATAATTCAACAAAAATAAAGAAGTAATAAATAAATCTTACCTATTGCCCTCAGGCCTAATGATCATTCTATGATAACGATCATACCGCACTTCTTCTAGATCATCATCCTCCGGTGTATCTAAAGCGTGCGTAGAAGGGGTGGCATCTGGCTCAGCGCTACTATCCCGAAGGCGAAGTCTAGAAATGCTAGGAGACGAACTCCGTATAGAGGGAGACGGGGTCGCTGATGAAGATGGATGCGATCTAGACTCATGCTGCGATTCAGACCACTACTACGATCCGAGTGGCTGTAATCTAGATGGATGTGATCCAGCTGGTGGTGAATCAAATTGAGCAGATGACGGGCGCATCACCACATGGACCTGTGACTGCTGACTCGATGGACCCATATAACTATATGCAAGATCATGTGGAGGAAGCGGGGTATAGCCCTGTGGTGGAGAATGGTAAGAATATTACTGGGAGAGCGAATGGTAGGTAGTCTGATGAGTAGATGGATGTGGTGGAAAAGATGTGTGCCTAGAAGATTGTTGCCGTCCATCAGCAGCGGAGGGATGCAAGTGTGGAGTGGAATGAAGCGAGGGTGTAGCACTATCCTCAGATCAATAGGCCTCTTATCCTTCCTAGACCTACCTCAACCCCTACCAGTCATCTGCATAAATTAAAGAAAATGTTAGAATTGAGAAAATACATCTATATAAGTTGAGAGCGCTTGAAAAAACTAACATGCTAGTCGTCTTCGAAGTATCCTTCCTCGTCCGAAAATTCTTCCTCTTCACTTATTTCATTTTCATCAGGTGATTCTTCGTCCTCATTTTCTATGATGGTTATTTCCTCCATATTAACTTCTTCTAATATGCGTTGAGGATGCTCCAAGTCATTTTTCTAACTGATCATCCACCATTTCGTTAACACTTGAGGTATCATTTTGGTAAGTAATATCTAGCACATTCTCAACTTTCACCCCACCAACAGGCTTAGTTTTGATTACAACCAACCAATCAACCTTATCCCTCCGCAATGGATATGGAGCATAATACACTTGCCTAACTTTTTCTGCAATTATAAAAGGATCATAGCGATCATACTCCCTCTATTATTAACCTCAATTATGTTGTATTGCAAGTGTACATTTAGACCTCTTCTAGGTGTTGGGTCAAATTACTTGCATCGAAAAAGTATGATCTTCTTATTTGGCCAACCTGAATATGATAATTCTAGAATCTCTTTGATCACGCCATAATAATCATTTTTCCCATCCTGGTTACCTTCACCACCTTTGACACACACCCCACTGTTATTGCTTTTTTTTATACTTAGAGCATTCCTCGGTGTGAAATTTATAACCATTCACAAAATACTTAGACATAGTTGTAAATGTAGGTGCAGGTCCCCAAGATATATCTTTCAAAAATTGATTAACACCGTAGTTTAGATTATTGACCTACATGTCGTGTTAAATCAATCACAAGTGAGCAAGTGTATTCACAAGTGGCCAAGTATGTATATTCACATGTGAGAAAGTATGTAAGATGCACTTACACACTCTTTAAATCATGCCTCAAATGTAGAATATACAGCATCATGGCCAATTTGACTCACAAAGTCACTGAGCGACACATTGAAATTTTGTTAGTTACATCAACCGAATTAAATAGTAGTCCATGTAAATTAATCTTACGTCAACACTTACTTAAGAAAGGGTTGAACTTCCGGATAATTTAGCAACACATAATTTGAAGCTCATTTGTACTCCATACTACTTAGGCCCCTTTTTGATCAATCTTTAGAACCTCGGCCTGGTTGATTGAATATGGACATTGGTGGATATAATGGATTATTATCAATCATGACATTGTGCTGATTGGGCCTATTTCTAGCACATGGCACATGACTGTCGAAGTAGTAAGAACAAAAATGGGCAGTTTCCTTTGCAAGATAGGCTTCGCATATGGATCCTTCAATCCTATTCCTATGTTTAACAAATCGTTTACACTTGCCGATATTCCTGCACAATGTCATATTAGACGATAAAGTTAAAGAAAATTACAAGAATGAATCAAGGTTTGATCATTACCTCTCGAATGGATACATCCACTTGTATTGAACCGGCTATCCAAGTCGCGTCTCGTGTACAAGGTGAATTGGAAGGTGTTCCATCACAGCAAAGAAACCACACGAAAAAATCACTTCCAGCTTATTACTGATTACAGGAATATTCCGATTCATTTGAAATAGGTTTTCTTCCCTTAATGTGGTTGAACATAAGTCTTTGAAGAACAGACTTATCATTGTGATGGGTTTCCAGATACTTTCAGGCAAACTACAAAATGTAATAGGGAATAAATTTTCATGAAGATATGACAGTCATGACTTTTCATATGAATCAGCTTTCTTTTAAACATATCATTTTTCCAGGTTCGAAGCATATCCCTCAGGCATCTTTAGGTTTGTAACCCACTCACAAATTTGTCGTCTTTATTCAAAAGTGAATGTGTAGCTAGCCTTGGTCTTGAACACCTTACCATTATTCGTAGACTGCAAATATAATTCAGGTCGCCTACAATATTCTTGTAAATCCAGTCTAGCCTTCGGGTTATCTTTTGTCTTATTCTTATCATCCATCACTATGTTGAACAAATTGTCAAAATAGTTCTTCTCAATATGCATTGACATCAAGATTGTGTCGGAGAAGATTATCCTTCCAATATGGCAACTCCCAAAATATGCTCTGTTTTGTCAAGTTATGAGCAACGCCATATCCAGAAAATCTAGAAGGTAGGGCTTCGGTAACTTTAGTGAAGTTCTGAACCCTCTCCCAAATTTCCTCACCGGGACAAAATTGGAGGTGGCAAATCATGTTCAACTGCGTTCGTTTTGAATGTATTCTTCATCCTTCTGAACTCATGATCAACTGGCAAGAATTGACGATGACAATCAAACCATGACTGCTTTCGGCCATGTTTTAAAGTGAACGCTTTACCATTTTCCATGCAGTAAGGACATGCTAACTTTCCAGCAGTTATCCACCCAGATAACATTCCATACACAGAAAAATCATTAATGGTCTACATTAAATTAGCATGCAAGTTGAAATTTTGCTTAGTTGATATGCCACGTCTCAACTCCATCATACCACAACTGTTTTAGCTCATCAATAAGAGGTTATAAATATACATCAATCAAACTCTTTGGATTTTGGGGACCGGGAATAACACAATTTAAATATATATATGGACTAGTCATACACACATTTCAGGCGAAAGATTATGCAGCGCAATAAAGACTGACTAGCATGAATATGGTGTTGCAGAAACAGAAAATGGCGTGAAACCATCAGCACACAAACCCAACCGAACATTCCTCAGTTCACTAGCATAATCCGGATACGTCCTATCAAAATGCTTCCAAGCTTCCCCATCTGAAGGATGACACATAATACCGGGCGACCTTCTATTTTTATAGTGCCATCTCATATGAGGAGCGGAACTCATCGATGCATACAACCTCTTTAATCTAGGAATAAGAGGTAAATAATGCATCGACTTCACAACAACCTTTTGCCTGCTGGAAACCCGCTTAAAACGAGGTTTTTCACAAAATTTATAACTTTCTAAATATGCATCACCCTTATAATACAACATGCAACCATCTTCATAACAATCGATTCTCATAGACGAGAGTCCTAACTTAGAAACCAATCTTTTAACCTTATAAAAATCTTCAGGTATGTTGAAAGTTGGGTCAACTAATTCACACATAAGGCCAATGAAAGAATCCATTCCTGCTTGAGAAATATTTGTATCTGATTTGATACTTAATACTCTAACCGCAATAGACAACTGAGAGTGAATACTCCCTTCACTTAGTGGACGACTAGCGGCCTCTAACTGTTCATAAAAATATTTTGCCTCTTTGTTAGGAGCTTGTTCAATACTTTCAAGGATTTCAAACTCGAAGTGCATCCCAAAAGCATTCGCAACCATTTCATGGTATCTAGGATGTTGAACGTTATTCTCCACCGACCTATTACTTTCACCAACAACTACATTATGAAATACACCATCAGTACCATCAACCTCTCCATGACTAGTCCACACAAAATAATTATCCATAAACCCCTTTCTATAAAGATGAGTCGTAACATCCTCCGAACCCAAAAAATTCAAACACTTGCACTTCGTACAAGGACACCTAATCATCCCTCTAATCCGAAACGGTTCAAGTGACATTGCATGCCTAATAAATTCCTTAACCCCTTCTATAAATTCCTCCCTTAAAAATCGACGATTAGGATAATTTCTATTATACATCCAACTATGATATTCCATCTACACAAAGAACAAATAAATTACATGTTATATTAATTGACTATTCAAATTAATTTATAGAATTAAGTTACATAATAAACTTTAGTTACAAAGTACAATATTTAAATAATTTGAGTGCAATTAATTTGAGTACAATATTGTTCTAACCCTACCATTAAACATAATTAGACTCGCTAGAATATTGAATTAGTTAAGCCATTCAATTAGACTAACTCACTTACTATTAATCATAATTAATACACCCTAAATTATAATTTAATAAGCCCTAGTTCATAGTTTAATAAGCCCTAAATCGTGATCAATAAAATTGAAACAAATAAAAATTAGCTAAGCAAAAGTATAATCATAACCTTCTAACATAATATCTTCTAAATTAGCTAAGCCAAGTACCTTACATGATATCAAAACAAAATCAATAAGAGTAAGTCCTAAATCTAAAGAATTATAAATCAATTTAAATAATCCCAAAATCCTAAATTGTAAACCCTAGTTTATACAATTGAAAGAATCTAAACAACTAAAATTAACAAATATAGATAACTAACCTTCAAAGAGATAAGAGGGGTATGATTTTTGGAGCGGAGCGGCAGCGGGTGGCACGGCAGTGGTGGCGCGACAGGGGTGGAACCGATGGAGAACAGGGAGACGAAGTGGGTGGGGGGTTTAATTTTAGGTGAGAAGGGAGTGATGAGTTGATTTTGGATGGGATTTGGGAAGGGTTAGAAGCTATGGAAGAAAGAATGAGAGAAAGAGAAAAGAGAGAAATGGGAAAAAAAAACCCGTCTGTGGCAGCCTATATTAAAATTTTAAATTGCGGTCGGTACATTTAAGTTTTTAATTGACCGTTTGACACCACATTTCCGACCGAAATCGATCGGTATTTCAATTTTAATTTTTAAAAAAAATTAATTTAATGGAAATACCGACCGAAGTCAGTCGGTTTTAGTCTATTTATACAAATAGATTTTAAATAAATAATATTTAATATTTAATATATATATATATATATGTGTGTGTGTGTGTGTGTGTTTTTAAAATACTTTTATATGGACACTATACATATGNTATATATAATCGTGTGATTTGACCGAGTATATGTTGTTGCTACAACTTAAGTTTTAATATAGCACTATATCTTATAGCACTATACATTTTGCTTTTAAATGTGTTATAGCGTGTTGGATGCCGATTGACACAGGGCGGGAAAAAATAAATTAATTATTATTAAAAAAAAATTGACACGGGGCGTGAAAAATAAATTAGAATTTCCGACCGACCGACCGACATCGGTCGGTATTCTATAATTGTTTTAATTAATTATTTTTTTTGTAGATAGTATGCAAGTCTGACCAGGCTTTGGTCAAAGATTTACCATTTTCCGATCACAGTTGGTCGGAAATTTCAATTGTGTCAAATAAAACAAACTTTCTTTTTTGTGGGATCACGTTTTCCAACCGATTGCGGTTGGTATTTTTATGTACATTTTGTTATTTGAATTTTTCGACCAATTTACTTTGTTTCCGACCGACTTCGGTTGGTATTTTTTTCCGACCAATTTCGATGGATATGCTCTGGACAGATTTTGACAGTTTTTTAGTAGTGCGTGTTCTATACTTTTTGTTAGAACTAGTATTATCCTCTAACTTGCACCTTGATCTTCACTCTCTTTCTCTTTCAATGTTTGTATGATATGATTGGATATTTTCGAAATGCAGGGACATAATGGAAGCACAGTGCCAAGAATTCAAGAGCCTAGCAATAAGCATCTTATGTCAATTGGCAAAGGCTTTAAAGATGGATGAAAATGAAATGAAAGATCTATTTACTGATGGTATGCAGTTAATAAGGATGAATTGTTATCCTCCTTGCCCTGAGCCAGACAAAACCATTGGCTTAAGTCCTCATTCTGATGCTGATGCCCTCACCATCCTTCTCCAGCTTAATGAAACTGAAGGTCTCCAAGTTCGAAAAGATGGTATTTGGGTTCCTGTAAAACCCCTCCCAAATGCTTTGATTGTCAATGTGGGCGATATGATGGAGGTAAATAAGATTTTCCTTGTTAAAGCTGTTAAGTCTTGCTTTTGTTTTCCCTTTCATCTCTTACTTCAGATATTCAAACTTCTAAATTTTCTTGAAAGGATTTAATTTAGGAAAATGTGTTAATTGAATTGGCAGATAGTGAGCAATGGTGTTTATAGGAGCATTGAGCACAGAGCAGTTGTAAACTCAAACAAAGAGAGGCTATCTCTTGCAACATTCTATATCTTTAACCTTGACTCTGAATTAGGTCCTGCACACACCCTCATTGGACCACATAATCCTGCAAAATTCCAAAATGTTCGTGTTGAAAAATATTTGCAGGATTTTTTTGCACGAAAACTTGATGGAAAATCGTTCATTGATCGCTTTAAGGTAGAGACTAAGGATGACGAATCCTAGGTCGCATTTGATACTCAACTTGTTTGGATGGTTGTTACCCATCATATCTTATTGTATTGTATTGTATTGTGTTGTGTTGTGTTGTATTGTATTGTATTGTATTGTATTGTGTATTTCTATATTTTTTTTGAAGCAAGTACAATCTCTGTTTTCCTTAGCTGGAGCAATTAAAACGTAAAGAGAAAAAAATAAATTTACACTTTAATACAAAACATAAAAAGCCAGGATAGAATTTAAATTCCACGTAAGGATCAAAGAGCAAAAAGAAAGGAGGATAACATAAACTTCAATTTTGATTTTTTAAAACAAGCTAAAAGAAAGGCATATGTGTATGAAGTTCCAACTAATATTTTTTGTGTTTGAGCAATGGCTTGTTTAGTTGGACGAGTTACACAGCTGAAAGGAACGACGTGTCAATAGTCATGCTCTGTGCTATCTGGAGAAGGCGCTCAACATCTAGTTCAGGGAAATGTTGTAAAAGTTTTAAGTTGTCAACGAAATCACCACTCAGTAGTTTGCTTTTGACACACATGAGCATAGCACAACAGATCCTCAAAAGCATTTCCTGCAAATGACACATTACAAGTGGTGTATTCAGCCACCAGTAAAATGAACCTGGAATTAGATGATAGGTTCTTATCTAGTTCTCACTCTGTGACATTATTAGGTCATCCCTCTAAATCTACACACACACACACATTATATGTTGTAGTCCAAATTGGTTGGTAATGAAGGGAGAATAACCTGAAGGCCAAAGGGATTGCTTAAAAGTGTATCCCAGATCCTTAGGATGTGATGCAGCCTAAACTCCTGAGTAAGAAGCAGAGTGATCCACCTAAACGCATAGAATTGCGGGTCAACCTGTTTACTTGCACATAAAAGCAACTCTCAAATAATTTGAGGAAGTAATTAGACCAGAAGATTAAATGCAAATAATTTGTCAGTGCTTAAGGAATAGGTTCACCTTTGATTTATATTCAAGATGGTGCCACAATTCCTCATCATTGGTTTTTAATAACTTTGACAAGTTTGAAAGAGTGGAGTGGATACCCACAGAACTGCTATCTAGTTGTTGACAGAAGTGATCCACACAGCTACTCATTAGTATAACAAAACAGGAAAAAGTATCTGCTTCTAAATCTTCCTGCATAGTGGAAAAACAAATGTTTCTTCTACTATTTATGGGTTCTGAGAAAGAGTTGGCGAAGGCACGAATTTAAATAATGAACAAATTTGAGGAAGACACTTACAGTATTGTGCTCATCACTATCAGTGCTGAAGACATAGTATAATGGGGCCAAGACCTCATTCATACCTTGCACATAACTAATTGCCGGATTTAACTTTGCAAACAAAAGAAGAATATTTCTCATCGACTCCTGCAAAGCATACGTAAAGTCAGAAAGAAAAAAGGCATCACAGACTCACCATGATTTGCAAGAGCAGTAATACATAATAATATCAGGAGGTGACAAAGACAAGTAAAATGTTACCCTATTCTTCCTAGATAGTGGTGAGTCTCCTGAGAAGAATTCTAAATCTGGATGAGTTCGCTGCAAATCACGGTCTATTTGATCTGAAATTTCTGTAAACTAGAAACACCACTACTGTCATAAAAATGGTTTTCAGTGAGAGAAAAAGGTTGCAGAAGAACACACAGTGCGGTAGGTACTTGCCTCAAAGTACTGATGCCATATACTAGTTTTACCTAAGCTTAGCGGATGATCCTCTTTTGAGATGTTGTAGCGTTCAAGGGCCTCACTGACTTTGCTGTTAGTATCATGTCCAAGAAATCTCAAGCTTTTATCTTTTCTCCTTGACAATTCTGACTGTCTAGATTAAAGAGTGTTATTTGATATACAGTCATAATAAACAACAAAACTAAGACCATAAATTACAAGGTTAGTGGAAACTTACAGGGTTTAGTAAAAGCTCATCTTTGAGCTTAGCATATTTTAATCGACTCTCAGTCAACTCCTTTTCCCATAAGTCAGGAGAAGTCGGTAAATACCCCAACAATAGCTGCAATTCATTATGTCAAATTGAAGCATATATAGACATAGAGCAAAAGGACTAATAAATAGTCAATAACACATTCAGTAATTACTCTCCCATGAGCATGACATAAGTTTCAACAAGCAAAGCAGTAAGTATGGAATCTCAGAATGAATAAAGATTCTTTTAGATGAAAAATTATGACAAATTGGATTTAAGATTATATTCTTCTACTTTCATTAATAAAGATACGTACTCTTTCGTCAGCTTAATCCCATATCTAGTTCACCATTTAGTTCTATCAGGTCATATTAGTTGTATGTTTGCGAAAATGCTTATACTAATGGAGCATGCATGTTATTAATATTAGTACAGGTAATATAATAACCTTCCAAATTATTGCTCGCAAACTCCCTCCGTTTGGAATACCTGAACTGGCAACTCTTTGCAACTTCTCCAAAGTAATCTCCTTCTCAGAAAGCTGTGCAACACCACCAATAAATAATAATTAGAGAAACGACAAATATATTGATACGCCCAGACAAGAAAAATTAGAAACCGCATATTTGGAAAAACCATTAAGCTACTATACATATATAATAAGAAATGCCGTATCATTGTTTTCGCTCTTGATTAGAGGTGATCTGTACCTATTTATCACACTTCAAATCTCACCTTTTATTTCCTATAAATTGAATTGTAAATTCTTATATAGGTCACAACACAGAGACAACTCTACCATTGCTGCAAGACTTTGTGCATCGGGCTAGTTTTTTTGTTTTTATTTTAAACATTGACTAACAATGAATTTTAACTTATGATAGTATACTAATTATCTATTTTATACATATTACAAATTAATGTTTGTCAAAAGATTTACCGGTAATTACCTAATAAGTGACCTGATCGTATAAACATTTTTATACTGTTAGTGCATAGTAATGAAAATTATGATTACCAGTCTCACCTCATATTCAAGATCAGATCTTTTTTCATCATCATCATCATTAATGCAGGCGTGCACAATTGCTCCCAAACTCCTATTTGTCTTTTGGGGAACACTAAGCTCCTCGTCAAAATCATTAGTTTGATCCTTAATCATATGTTTTAGAGCAAACCCATGAGGCTCAAAAGTGCGTAATTCTTCACCGGTAGATTCATCTCTTTTATCAGACCCCATAATGTAATTTCTTTCTTCTCTACCAACCACTAAGCTACCAAGCATTTCAGGAAATACTAATTTCCTCGCTTTTTCTGAAACCTTGAGCTTGCTAATTTTAGGCACCATTTCCTCGGATTTCTAAGGATGATTTGGAAAAGAAGTTTCTGCTTTTCAATTCAAAAGAAAAAAAAAAATTATTGAATGGGAGTTTGGTTTCCTTGAATTTGTTTCAGAGTGGGAGAGGAATGACAGTTAGCCGTTGAATGGTAGGCGGGTTCTTGTTTCCTGGATTTTTTTCTAATTTTTTTCTTCTAGCAGAACAATGCATATTTTTACATTATTAACTTACTTAAAAACCAATTATAGTTAGATCAAATTATAGAACTAATGTTTTTTTGTGTCATGAATATAACTGAACTATATATGAACTGCTTAGAATGTATAATGGTCAAAAAATCAAATTGATGGCGTTAGGTGCTTTGCCACTCTAAATTTCACCTCAAATAATTTTCTTTGTAAAAAAGATTATCCGTGTACAATTTTTTATACCCTAATTAAAGTTACCGTGGAGATTTCAACACACTAATCCAAATGTTCACAGAGTATTTGCTTTATTTTAGTCTTAAAAGTATCGCATGAAATTGGGAATAAGTTATTACTTGCATAGTTGCATGTGTACGCGATAGTGCTATATTTTTAGAAGTTGAGAAGCCTTTCCGTATCCTTCAACAAAACAAGTTCAATTATTTTGGGTACAACATGACCCTACAATATATATGGTGATGTTACATTCTTAACAGTAATCTTCAACTTACTAATTAAAAATATTACATTTTTCTTTACTCCCTCTGCTTCAATCAAAGTGTCTTATTTTGACTAGCCAAAGAAGTGAGACTTATGGATTTTATAGTATTAAATTAAAAATGTGAGTAATGTACAAAAATATCATTTGAATCTTGTGGCATTAATCATGTCATATAGAATATAGACCGGTTGGATTTAAGGAGTTGTCAAATCACAAACGCAAAAATCTGATTAGATCTTCCTAGTCATAACCTTACAATCCTTGTTGAATAATGCAAATTGGGATCAGAAAATAGTAGAGAAGTGGAGAGATCTAGCTAAAAGGGAGAAACGCCATGGAAGCACATACGGGAGAGCTAGAAGATTCCATGAAAGTTCCTTCTGTTCAGGAACTGGCAAAGCAGAAATTGGTGACGATTCCATCGCGATATGTACGTGATGATCAGGACCGTTCAATTTCATCGTCAGATAAGGAAGTTCCAGTCATTGACTTGCAACGATTAAACTCTACTGATCATTCAATGAATCTCGAGCTTCAGAAATTGCATTTTGCAGCCAAAGATTGGGGTTTTTTTCAGGTACTTATCTATACTTCCTAGTTTCTGATAACTAATTATTGTTATTTGGATTTAACGCGTATTATAACCTTTTTATTTATCATATATTACTATGAGATTATACAGGTTGCAACTGAATATATTCAATATGAATAATTTGTGTACTCAATATGCTAACACTGCAGTTGATTAATCATGGAGTAAGTTCTTCAGTGGTGGAGAAAATGAAATCTGAGATTCAAAAATTCTTCAATCTGCCATTGGAAGCGAAAGAGAAGTTTGAACAATTGCCAGGGGATACAGATGGGTTTGGGCAGCTATTCCTTGTCTCTGATGATCAAAAGCTTGACTGGGCAGACATGTTTTGCTTGAAGACCTCGCCTACACATTTAAGGAAGCCTATATTTTCCAAGCTTTCCCTTTCATTTAGGTACGTATTATAATGTCGTCCTCAATTAATCAACCATAATATTTAACACTTGTTACAAAACTAACATCTGAATATTTGTTAGATGTGTGTGAAAAAAGTCTCACATGAAAAGTTTTTTAAAAAAAAGTACTTATGGGAGTTGAATGTTCTTAATGGTGTGAGACTTTTTCGGAAAAATCGTGTGGGCTTGGCCCAAAACGGACACCGTACAATATCACATCATGTTAAGAATATATTTGAGGGGTTTATCTGTTAGTAATATGTATTTGTAAAGCAATTCTGGAAATAAAATAACGTAAAGAACATAAATGTAGAATTAACATAATTTAATCCGAGGAATTTTAATCCGAGCTCACTGAATTTACAGTGTTTCCTTAAGAACTTAATCCCCTCCTAGTACCCGAGGTTGTGGATTATTTTCTCTCAGGATAGAACGGATTACACACTGGTGTAGCGATACTTCAAACCCTACTGTTTCAGCGAACACAATGATCGGTACCAAATCACACTTACTATTGCTTTCTTTGTAGTTAAAACAATGCAGAAGAAAGAAGGAGATTTCAAAATTTTCGTAAGAAAAATCTGATGGAATGGTCTGCTATTTATAGCCAACAGGTTGGGTTTAAACGAAGAGGTGCACGTCTTCAAAATGACCGTTCGCGTAAAAACGGCCACGCAAATGGCTATTTACACAAAATAAAACAGAAAAATCAAACGCGGAGGAAAACTAATTTACCGTTACAAAAATATCTAATTTGGATTAAAATAATATTACGTAAATCTTAATAGTAACAAATAAATTTGGTCCAAAAAATAATCAATCAAATTATTTGACCAAATCCGAAGTCGAAGCTGAAGCCGAACAAGCGACGACGGCAACAACATGAGGCTTGTCTTTTTCTTAACTCTTTAAGAGGTAGAAGAAGAGCAATTGTATATATACCTATCAAAAAAAATTTCCTCCTCCAATATGGGACAATGTCTATTTATCAAAGAGGAAAATTCAAATATTTTTATTTTTCCCTCCATTTTCCATTCACTCTTTATTTTAAGCTTTTAACATGCTTAAACCCAACAATCCCCCACGTTAATGGGGAATGATATATCACGGAAATATGCATGAAAAACTATGTGATTCGCAAGCAAGGATTAATTGCATCTGGATAAGTAGGTTTCCCTTTGAACTTTTCGTAGTGAGCTTATGTCGGATATACTCGGTCAATCAGTAGATTTGATATCTTTGAACCGTCGAACTTTGGCGTATACCTAGACAACCATAAGTCACACAATCAACCCTTAACCGTCTTTGATTCTCAGTGTTGTGTTCGTTTCAGCCATGAACATCGCCTGGTTTCATAAGTGCTTAAAGAACTGGCCTTACAAAATTCTCCTTGAAACGGCTAACACTTCACACTTACATAGGTGATTCCTAAATGTGTCATCCCGTAGATACATTATTTGATATACCCCGTATCAAATTTCGAAACCATTAAAAAGCCTTAATACTTTATCCTTGGTACTGAACATTGTCTCATCACGAGAATGGACCAAAATTTTAGTTGACAATGTTGAACCGTCATTGGTGACTTTGTTTGATCTCCTTGAACCTAGATCTTGGAATTTCCAGTCTTCTAGGTAGAGTTACCGCCACAATGACTTGTCCTCGGACATAGTCCCATTCCCTTCGATGATTTCTCAACTACCTCTCTAGTTATGCCTTTCGTAAGTGGATCCGACACATTATCGTTTGACTTTACGCAGTCAACCGTGATAATTTCTCTAGAGAGTAATTGCCTAACGATTTTATGTTTTCGTCGTAAATGACGAGATTTCTCGTTATACATAACGCTCCAAGCCCTTCCAATTGTCGCTTGACTATCGTAATGTATACATATTGGGGTCATCGGTTTGAGCCAAAATAGAATATCTTCCAAGAAATTTTGGAGCCATTCAGCTTCTTCACAGGTTTTATCTAAAGCTATAAACTCAACCTCCATTGTAGAGCGGGCAATATAAGTTTGTTTAGACGACTTCCAAGATACCGCTCCTCCACCAATAGTGAATATATATTCACTTGTGGACTTAGAATCAGTTGAACCGATGATCTAATTTGCATCACAGTATCCTTCAATCACCCGCAAGATATTTACTGTAGTGCAAAGCAAAGTCTTGGGTATGTTTTACATATCTCAAAATTCGTTTCATTTCCATCCAATGAGATTGACATAGATTACTCGTGTATCGACTCAAATTACTTATAGCACAAGCTATATCTGGGCGTGTAGAATTCATGATATACATTAAACATCCCAACACACGAGCATAATCCAATTGTTATATGCTTTGGCCTTTGTTCTTTGCTAGTGCAAGATTCACGTCAATTGGAGTCTTTATAACTTTAAAATCGAAGTGCTTGAATTTTTCAAGTACTATTTTCATGCAATGAGATTGTGACAATGCAGACCTTGAGGAGTCTTATGGATCTTAATGCCCAAAATTAAATCGGCAACTCCCAAGTCTTTCATATCAAACTTGCTAGTTAGCATACACTTAGTCGCATTTATGTTGGCAATGTTATTACTCATTATCAGCATATCATCCACATATAAGCAAACAATGATTATGTGATTTGGAACATTTTAAATGTACACACATTTATCACATTCATTTATCTTAAAATCATTTGACAACATTGTTTAGTAAAATTTCGCATGCCATTGTTTGGGTACTTGTTTTAGTCCGTAAAGGGACTTAACAAGTCTACATACCTTCTTTTCTTTACCTGGAACCACAAACTTTTCAGGTTGTTCCATGTTGATTTCTTCCTCCAAATCTCCATTTAAGAAGGCCGTCTTAACGTTCATTTGATGAATTTCAAGACCATATACCGCAGCCAATGTTACTAACGTTCGTATGGACGTAATTCTTGTAACTGGAGAGTATGTATCAAAATAGTCAAAACCTTCTCGTTGTCTATACCCTTTGACTACAAGTTTTGCCTTATATTTATCAATAGTGCCACCATCTTTCATTTTTCTCTTAAAAATCCATTTAGAACCCAACGGTTTATTTTCAGGAGGAAGATCAACCAATTCTCATGTATGGTTATTCAATATGGATTTTATTTTACTATTGACTGCCTCTTTCCAAAATAATGATTTCGAAGAAGACATAGCTTCTTTAAATGTTCGAGGCTCATTTTCAATAAGAAAGTCACAAAATATGGTCCACATGAAGTAGATGTTCTTTGACGTTTACTACGTTTTGGATCCTCCTGATTAGACGTACTTTCTTTTGTTTTTTCCCGATGTTATTTAGATCTTTCACCAATCGACTTATATTTTTTTTTATACGGATATATATTTTAGAAAAATTCAGCATTATCTGATTCTATAACCGTATTATTATGGATGTCGGAATTTTTTAATTTATGAATCAGAAATCAATATGCTTTATTATTGGTCGCATATCCTATGAAAACACAATCAACGATTTTCGGTCCTATCTTTACCCTTTTGGGTTTAGGAACTTGCACTTCTGCCAAACACCCCCACACTTTAAAATAATTCAAGTTGGGGTTCCTTCCTTTTCATTTTTCATATGGAATAGATTGCGTTTTGCTATGGGGTACTCGATTTAGTATCCGGTTAACCGTAAGAATGGCTTCCCCCCACAAGTTTTGTGCAAAACCATAACTTATCTACAACGCGTTCATCATCTCCTTTAATGAACGATTCTTTTTTTCGCAATCCCATTGGATTGGGGCGTATAAGGGGCCGTTGTTTGGTAAATAATTTCATATTCTAAACATATTTCTTCAAAAGGAGATTTGTATTCACCATCCCTATCACTTCTTATCATTTTTATTTTTTTTTAAGTTGCATTTCAACTTCATTTTTGTATTGCTTGAATGCATCTATTGATTTATCTTTACTACTAAGTAAGTAAATATAGAAATAGTGAGTACAATCGTCAATAAAAGTTATGAAACACTTCTTTCCACCGCGAGATGGTATTGACTTCATGTCGCAAATATCTGTGTGAATTAAGTCTAAAGGATTTGAATTCCTTTCAACAGACTTATAACGATGTTTAACATACTTAGATTCCACACATATTTGATATTTTGATTGGTCACATTCAAACTTAGGCAATACTTCCAAATTAATCATTTTTCGTAAGGTTTTATAATTGACATGTCCCAAACGTATATGCCATAAATTATTTGACTCAAGTAAGTAAGAAGAATCTAAAATTTTATTATTCTCAATAACCATTACATTTAGTTTGAAAAGGCCCTCAGTGAGGTAACCTTTTCCTACAAATATTTCGTTCTTACTTATTACAACCTTATCAGATACAAAAACTCACTTAAAATCGTTCTTGACAAGAAGTGCAGTAGAGACTAAGTTCTTCCTAGTTTCAGGAACATGAAGGACGTTGTTCAGAGTCACCATCTTGCCAGAAGTCATTTTCAGAAATATCTTGTCACATCCTTCAATCTTGGGCGTTGCAGAATTTCCCATAGAAAGCGTCTCTTCGGGTCCAACGGGAGTATATGTAGCAAACGCTTCTCTAACAGTATAAACATGGTGAGTGGCTCCAGAATCGATCCACTATTCCTTAGGATTTCCCACCAGGTTGCATTCAGAAAGCATAACACTCAAGTCATCAATATCCTCGTGCTTTTCAACCATGTTTGCTTGACTCTTCTTCCTGTCTTTCTTTGGAGCACGGCAATCTGCAGATTTGTGTCCATCTTTCCCGTAGTTGTAGCAATTTCCTTTGAATCGCTTCTTGCTTGGGTTGCTTTTTGGTCTAGAAGGCTTCTTCCTATTTTGTGGAGCATCCTCAACAATGTTTGCTCCCATTATTGTTGAGTTTCCACGACCCTTCTTTTCAGCAGCTTCTTTGTCCTCTTCGATCCTCAACCGAACAATGAGATCTTCGAGCGACATCTCCTTGCGTTTGTGTTTTAAGTAATTTTTGAAGTCCTTCCACAAAGGAGGCAACTTCTCAATCATTGCTGCAACTTGGAATGTTTCATTGATGACAAGACCTTCAATAAAAATTATATTAGTAATAATAATATAATTAATACTTTCAACAAAAGTATTAATTCGACTTATACCTTCAGCAATGAGATCGTGAACAATCACTTACAATTCCTGGACTTGGGTAATAACAGACTTGCTATCTACCATTTTGTAGTCCAAAACTTTTGCGGCAACAAATCTTTTCAACTCGGCATCCTCAGTTTTTTTATTTCTTTTCAAGCGCAATCCACAGTTCTTTTGACGTCTACATATTACTGTAGACGTTATACAGATCGTCCTCCAGTCCGCTAAGAATATAATTCTTGCACAAAAAATCAGAATGCTTCCATGCCTCAATCACGAGGAAGCGTTCATTTTATGGAGTTTCGTTAGGCAGAACAGGAACATCTTCCTTAATGAACTTATGTAGACTTAAAATCGCCAAGTAGAAGAACATCTTCTGCTGCCACCGCTTAAAATCAATCTCGGAAGATTTTTCGTGTTTTTCTATCGGTGTCGGTGCCAATGCCGGTGTTGTTCGACTTGTCGATGCATTGGCAGTCACCATAGGAACAACCTGATTTTCGTTCTCAGTCGTCATTTCCGTAAAAGGATGACACAAACAAATGTTTAATATACAGTGAAGTTTTTATATCTTAAAATCGAATAAACTGGAGTAGAAAATCACGTAGATTTTAATCTCCAACGAAGTAGAAAATCACTAAGATTTTAATCTCCAAATAACAGATAATAAAATAAAACAAAACATACGTTAAGATAAAAATGGAGTAGAAAACCACGAAGGCTTTAATTTCCAAACTGGGAGTAGAAAACCACACATGTTTTAGTCTCCAGAACAGTATATACAATACAAATACAGAATATAGTAAAGTTCCTTCAGCTTGTTAGTAATCTGTATTTGTAAAGTAATTCTGGAAATAAAATAACGTAAAAATAGAAATGTAGAATTAATAGAATTTAATTTGAGCCCACTGAATTCACAGTATTTCCTAAAGGAACTTAATCCCCTCCTAGTACTCGTGGTTGTGGATTATTTTCTCCCAGGATAGAACGGATTACACACTAGTGTAGCGGTACTTCAAACCCCAGTATTTCAGCGAACACAATGATCTGTAGCAAATCACACTTACTGTTGCTTTCTTTGTAGTTAAAATAATGTAGAAGAAAGAAGGAGATTTTAGAATTTTCATAAGGAAAATATGAGGGAGTGGTCTGCTATTTATAGCCAACAGATTGGGTTTAAACGAAGAGGTGCAACTCTTCAGAATTACTGTTTTGACTGTTCACGTAAAAACGGCCATTACATAAATGGCTATTTACGCAAAATAAAACGGAAAAATCAAACGCGGAGGAAAATTAATTTATCGTTACAAAAACGGCTAATTTGAATTAAAATTAACCAATTGAAAGCCAAGCGACGATGATGGCGTGATGCTTGCCTTTTTCTTAACTCTTTAAGAACCAAAAGAAAAACAATTGTATATATACCATCAAAACTCTTTTCCTCTTCCAATATTGCTTTATCAAAGCGAAAAATTCAAATATTTCATTTTCCCTTCATTTTTCATTCACTCTTTATTTTAAGCTTTTAACAAGCTTAAGCCCAACATAGCTACGGCGGCTGCTACTGTTAGGTTCACCTGAACCATTGTTTTTTTCTTGAATTATGTATTATAGTACATATTAGAAGATAATATTAGTTTTGAACTTACGGACTCTAGATTCTGATTTGACCCGATCGAATTACCTACATCGAAATTAGATCTTATAAATTTCATCTTTTTGGAATATGTAGAGAGACAATTGATGCGTACTCAGAAGAAGTAAAGGAGCTAGCCATGAAAGTTTTGAAAGTGTTGGGTAAAGCTGTGGGGATTAAAGCAGAAGAAGTGAACAACCTTTTTGAAAAAGGGATGCAATCAATGAGAATGAATTATTATCCACCCTGTCCACAACCAGATCTTGTGATGGGACTTTGCCCTCACTCTGATGCATGTGCCTTAGCAATCCTTCTTCAAGTAAATGAAACTGAAGGTCTTCAAATTAGGAAAGATGGAATTTGGATTCCCATTTTACCCCTCCCCAATGCTTTCGTAGTCAATGTTGGAGATTCTTTGGAGGTACTTTCTCCATTCAATCTCCCTCCCTCTTATTTTATCAAGTGTTGGAAATCACACTTTTAAATCTATTCATCTGCTTATTATATATAAGTTTATTTGTTTTCCAGATATTTTCAAATGGAATTTACAGAAGCATAGAGCATAGATCAGTGGTGAGCGCAGTGAAAGAAAGGATCTCCATAGCAACATTTCATAGTCCAAGATTGGATGGTGAATTAGGTCCAGCAACTAGCCTTATTACTGCTGATACTCCACCGATATTTAAAACTATAAATGTCCATGAATATTTTAGAGGATTCTTCACCCGTAAACTTGATGGGAAATCATATTTGGACACCATGAGAATCACTAGTGCAAATTAAATAACCTGTAAAACCTTTAATATGAAAGATAAAATAAAATAAATCACTCCTATGTGTTGAATATTATTATCATGATTTGCTTTTATTACAACTTGTTTGGAGGGTTTTTACTATTGTATAGTTTCGTACTATGTATATTGTATTGTTTTGTGGATATAATATTTGAACTAATTGAGTATATCATTTGCTATTGTTTAAAGAGTGGCATTTTTGTTATTTACTTTGAATGCATCGTATTGTATAATAATATACTAAAATAATTCTTATTGCTATAATTATTAAATTAATCAATAATTAATTGATACAACTTCTCCCGTTGTCGGGAAATCGTATGTGGACACCATGAGAATCACCCACGAAAACATCTAGAGAACGGATAAGGGTCTAATTTGCCCATCTTCTATCATAAATAGGTCTTATTTATCCTCCGTTTACGTTTTCTATCAAAAATATTTATACATTAGGTTCATATTTACCCCTTAAACGTTTAAAAGAGTTACATTTGCCCTTCGTTATATTTTAGGATCATATTTACCCCTCTACTCTTCAAAAAGAGTTACATTTGCTCTTCGTTATATTTTCTTGACATATTTATCCTTACAATTATACCCTACATTTACCCTCATCCGGTAGATCGCCATGTCCCACCTTTGTTTTCCTACATGGCGCCTATGTGGATTTCTTTTCTTCCAATTTAAATATGGTCACCTATTTAAGATAATTTAACATGCCCACCCAATTTAAATAAGACTTCATTAACTCTATTGTTGTGCAACTTCTTGTAATTTACTTTGGTTACTGCAATAATTGTGAGTTATATTAGATTAGTGATTTTGAGTTCAAAGTTATTGTTTGTGGGGGTGGGGGGTGGGGATTGGGAATTATGATTTTCATTTATTTTAGTTAGTGTGTCTTATTTAAATTGGGTGAGCAGGTTAAATTATCTCAAATAAGTGACCATATTTAAATTGGAAGAAAAGAAATTCAATTAGGTCCCATGTAGGAAAACAAAAATGTGGAACATGGCGATCTACCAGATGAGGGTAAATGTAGGGTATAATTGTAAGGATAAATATGTCAAGAAAGTATAACGAAGGGCAAATGTAACCCTTTTTGAAGAGTAGAGGGGTAAATATGATCCTAAAGTATAACGAAGGGCAAATGTAACTATTTTAAGCGTTTAAGGGGTAAATATGAACCTAATATATAACAGTAAGGATATTTTTGATAGAAAAATTAAACAGATGGTAAATAAGGCCTATTTATGATAGTAGAAGGGCAAATCAGACCCTTACCCGTCTAAAAAACTAGCTAGTTCTAAATTTCTTAAATCTCAATTCTCAACCATAAGTTATAAAGTACTATTCCCTGCGACTTCTTCCAACTTCTACCTTATGTGACCGTGATCGGATGCGGATCCAGAATTTGAATGTTGCGGGTGCCAGCATGTTATGCATTCAGTATACATGTCAGTAGCTACAAAGACAGATTAGGAATAATGGGTCGGGTCGGTTAGTTTTTTGTTAATTTGAATAGGCCTTTCATTCACAAAGCAAATAAGTTCGATTTTAGTTCAAATTTTTAACGCTTAATTTAAACACATTCTAAATAAAAATGCAAAAGAAAAATAACATTTCATGAAAGAGCGCCTCCAATATAAATATTTGCTTAAAGAGTAGCTTAACTATACTATATATTCTTTGTTTGACTAGATTAATTTACTTGTATTGTTCTTTATTTATTTTTCCATCTTAATTTTTGAGTTATATGACAACTATTTTCAAAGAAAAAACTTCAACATTCAACCTATGATATTCGACTCAAAACGACTATCAATCAAGCCATTTAATTTTTTTTCAAAACCCAATAGAAGATATTGCTCAAACTATACTCCAATACATAAATTAATATCGTTTCATTAAAAATAAAGAAATTATATGCTATTTAAAATCAATTTAAATTATCTATAGAAAATAATTGTTCATAAAGTAAGGTATAATGATAGAAACAAAACGAGGACTGAAAGTCAAAAAAAAATGAAGAAGAGAGACTTAGCAAGTAATAAAAGGAAGAAAATGAGGGAAAGCACCGAAAAAGGAAAAGAGGTGAGGCCCTAGGGCTCAACTGAAAATAAAAGAAATCTTAATAAGTAGAAAAAAGGAAAAATCAAATGAGCTACTCCAAGGAAAGCCTTCAAAGGGAAGCGTGAACTAATGGCACTCACTTTCACTTTGTGACTTCTGGGTGTCACTCTATTCATATATACGTTTCTTCATAGAGATATTATGTACATAGTAAAAATTTTAGCGAACGAACGGGTGGCGTGGCACCCCCACCTCATAAGGTAAATCAGCCCCTGTATGTGATACTATTTTCTAATTAATTAATTTGTTCCACAAATAATGATATATTTTTATATTTAAAGTAATATAACTTTAAATTTTTTGTTTTTTCGTAATAATAAATTTTATAACCAAACAAATATTATTATATATTTATTATGATCAAATGTTTTAAAAGTATTTTAGCCACACAAATATATTATGATATGTTTACCACCATAAATTTAAATTTTTTTTTTTTTAAAACATTGTGTCGATCAAATTAAATAATATAAATTGGAAGAGAGAGTATTATAATAGTGGAATCGAGGGAGCTGATTTTATGCTTTCTCAACTTACGCAATCAAACAATAGGAAAAAGATGATATTCAGGTCGTTTTCTCCTGCCCAACCTACTAGTTATGGGTCGACTTAAAATTGTTACGTATCTAGGATTTTAAAAGTATGGATACATTATACTATCGTTTGGCTTGATTCCATCAAATTTTTGCTATGACAATAACTAGGGGTGTATATGGACCGAGTTGGTTTAATTTTACTATGATATATCGATTTGGATTGGTTCGATTTTGTCTGATTTTTCGAATTTTTTTACATAAATATTTTTTAATCTTACTTAGTTTAAGTTATAGATAAAGTTTCGATAAGTGAATATATATTTAGTAAAAATTAAAAAATTGACAAAACATATGATCTATTAAAATATTCTTATGGGAGAATTTTTTTAGTAACACGTGATAGTTATTTTCTTAGTTGTCTAACAATAATTTTTCGTTAATATATACTTTCAAGGTTAACTGAATTTAATAATTAAACATAAAAATCAAGATGATACCTAAATAATAATATATTCTACTTAATTTTAAATTATCGAAATACCATTTCAAATTCAAAAAAGATATAAGAAATCTTGACATATGAATATGGAAAAACAAAGACATGATTGACGCATTTCAGTAACACTTGATAAGTCAGTGATACAACTCATTATTTATAATAAATAAAAATAAATGCACTTCATAGTTCTATTAAATATTACATCTAATGAAAGGATCTCAAATATTTTTATATTTTTAAAAAAAAAACTCAATATAAAATCTAGAGACGGGAGTATGGGTTCATGTGTCCCACACCCCTCCAGGTAAATCCGCTCCTACATAAAATGTATATAAAATAATTGGTTGGCTACATGAATTTTTACCTTATTAACAAGGGTCCAATTCCTCACCTCTCCTGTTTTTCCTTTGAATTTTTTTTAGAGGGAAAGTCGTGAATACACTCGCAAATACTGTTAACAGAGAAATTTGATTATGGTGTGACATGCCACCTAATATTTTTAGGAACAATTTGACCTATTTATGCAGTGTCATTTTCTAGTGAAACGACATCAATTGACTCTCCTCGGCAAAGAGTGGCTCCTCCACATGTAACTTTTTCCTCTTCACATTATGCAAACCGCTTCTAGAAAACATTTTATCATTTGCCCTGCACTGCAAGGTAAGCAATTACGCACGTTTACTACATATTTTTGTTTTGTTTTGTGGTCAATGTTCTTTCAAACAGAATCCAGACAATCTTTTGGAAACAAAAAACTTTAACAATGTTTGAATATGATTTTGCATACTGTTGCTGTATAAATTTTTTAACACTTTAAGTATAATTTAATTGATTATAACAGATAACTTATGTGTATTTCCTAAATTATTTACAAATAAAATTACAATATAGTAATTATAATTATCTTTTAAATGATTTGATTATATAAATATATTAAACTCATATCGTATTCTTCTATATATTATGATGAGGTTAGGTGTGCCTAATTCTACCCCCACCATACACGCATTAAGAGATACTATATATAGTTGTGTGTATTAATTAACATGAGCAAAATTATAAGTTAGTGGTTATAATGATGGAGGAAAATTTGGCAGCGACACTAGGTGGAACTTTGGCTGTGCCAAGTGTTCAAGAACTGGCCAAAGACTCACCGGAAAAAGTCCCGGCGCGTTACCTGAGAGATGATCAAGATTTTTCTCCGATCAAATCATCTCATTTTATTAGTTTCTCTGATAATATCCCAATCATCAACATGGAAAGCTTACTTCTTGGAGATGAAATCGAATTGAAGAAGCTTGATTCTGCTTGCAAAGACGGGGGATTTTTCCAGGTTCTTTTGTGGAATATATATTTTACTAGCCGGCCTTGGTTTTCTGCTATTAAAAATTTGAAAATTTTGTATAATTGTACACAAGTATCGTTAGGGGTCATTTGGGAGTAGCAGGGCGAAGCCAAGATTTAAAATTTATGGTCCTGAATTTACCATCGAATTCATAGCTCGTCTTAGTTACTTGGTTCGCAATTGAATAGTTATATATACTCGAATGGATCTTCTAATAGAAATACCGCATATAAACAAAAGCTATTAGATTCGTCCGAACCCGTAGCTAATAATCTAGTTCCGCTTCTGGGTACCAGGATAAAGAAAATAATCTCTAGATATATGTAAGATTATCTTACCCGCGTTTAGTTAAAATTTTCAATTCGGGAATAAGTAATCCGCGAATTATTTTATTTCGTTATCTAGCTAGGTATTATTTTTGGCAAAGGGCCAAATATACCCTTATACTTTCGAAAATCGTCTAAGAATACCCCTCGTTATACTATTGGACTATATATACTTTTTCCGTCATACTTTGGAATAAATATACCCTTATTTTAGATGGAGTGCCACGTGTCAGCACCAGATGAAAACGACCCATTTTTTTTTTACCCGATCCGTTTTAAAAAACC